CCGCAGTAGCCAGCGATGCTACACGATCTTCGTCTACAATTAGTTGAGTCAACTCCACATTCATCGTCTGTTAGACACCTGTGGTCACTACGAGCATCTGGGACGTGGCAAGCACTCTCAACTTGTTGGCCACCACATTCCCACGAATTCATTCTCGTAGGACATACTTGCATAGACATTGCACTTGTCCGTCGTGCTTGATTTCCGGCCTGCACAAATGAAATTACAACTCGTATAAGGACATAAAGAATAAGACCGCATCTTGTTTCTGTTTGCTCAAAGGAAAACTACTATGCATGCAGTTGAGTAGAAGCAACACCTTGAGAGAAGTCCAGTTACTATGGATGTAAGTCTCAGGAAGCCTGTCATGCCAACTTCTCAACACTGGAAGGGGATGACCCTCAGTTGTGAAAATATAATTTTGGTCATCCATAAATGAATCGTCGAACAGAAGAAATAGATACTTGCACCTACAAAAAACATAAGACACCGGTTCAGATATATCTTAAACTGCAATAGTTTATGCGTGATTCTTTTCTCTGTATTTGCACAGTGCAAGGGAAAAGCAACTCTTACGTCTCAGCAAGGAAGAAACTATGCTGATGATCTTCCAACTGCATAGTTGTGACATCTCTAATGCTCGCAAAACCTCCTTCCACTTTTGTGTATAAGTTCAGAGAATTTACAATTGACTCCCCCACTTCAATGTACCATGGATCTGATAACACAGAAACAAACATGGGCAAAAAATCAGAAAAATAGGACCGGCTATAATCACGATACAGGATTTTTTTGTTTTTGTTTCTTATATTCTCTTGAATAAAAGAAATTTCATCTTAGGGCACTGAATGCTTACAAAATATTGCCTGAACTTTTAGAACCATGTGAAAAATGAAATATAATAAAGAAAATCAAACCTTTAGTTGCTTGATACAAGTAGAATGTTGACTCAGCTAATTCAGGGCGCAGAGGATAATACTTTTCTGTGGGATGCAACATTTGATGGTCCAACAAATACCTACATTATTTTACAGTTCATATTAGACAGTTTTTTTTTCCCTTATGAGAAATACTGCGGTAATAGGAACCAGCCATTAAAAACTAAGAAGTTCACATGTAGAATGTAAGAGTACAGACTCATAAGAAAACGGTTTCAAAAGCACCTTTCCGGTATTACTCCAAACTTTTTCCATACATAGAAAAATTCACGGTGTGAAGAATTTGCGGCTGCAATATCGCCAACAAGAACCTATAAACAAAGTTCACATCTAAAGATTAGAAGACTTTCTGAGGTTTGGAGCTATTATCGAAGTAGTATGACAAAGTTTAAGATTCCCTGCCTGTAGGCCAGGCCAAAATGCCTGAAGGCTAGTAAGCTGCCAATAAGTTGCTTTTCCTGTCCTCATATCAGCTTCATGGTACCTAATTACAGTAACATGCTTTATCAAAATAACTTTGCAGCCTACTTGTCTCAATTTAAACTTACAGCTAGAATCCAAACTTTCAACACTTGAAAAGTGCCAATAATAATTTGAAATAAGGCATTCAATAAGGCTAGGAGGAAGTGTTATACCATGGACCGTGTCTGAAATATTTCTGCACAGCAATATAAGCAGAATGAAACATTCTCCAGAACTCCTCCTTTCCGAAAAGGATGTGGGCCTTAAATAGATACTCATAAAATGAATCAACCCCTAAATGAAGAAACATATAATCCAACATCAGAAACTAAAACTCTAAACACTCAAGATGCGTCAAGGGAATGGTTTCTGATGGCCTGGAGCCCACCACACAAGGAAATATTGGCACATGTATGATTTGGGAAACCCAATAAACTACGGAACAATACATATAATGTAGTACATTAAAGACCCCAAAGCCCTGACCAAACCTACCAGCTCCAATCCCAGATGAGTACTCAAGCCATTCCCCAGTTGATACATCCAGCGTTGTACCAAGTAGATTCAAGGAACTGCGCATGCCCCATAATTTACGAAGAGCACGTAAAGCTGCAGACTCGTATTTGGGGTCTCCAGTCAATCGGGACAATGCTCCCATTTCCAGAATTAGAGAACCTGAATTCATATAAAAAATCAAGAGATTCAGGAGTGTCACATTTATTGATGTCCACATCTGAATACAGCAAAAGAAAGCCCCTCACCACATCCTGAAGTGCTTGTTTCAGTAGTCTCATTCTCCATCACTCCATACTGTCCACAGAATTTCGCATTCATGCAGAGTCATATATCCTTCTTACAAACAAAACCACCAAAACATTTTCATATATTTTTGAAACTTGAGAGGTGAAGTCTCGAAAATTTTTGCAGGACACAGGTACACCCAACTATATGTTTAGACTGATAGTAATGATATAGAAAGAATCATAGCATGCATACATCCCACAAATCACAATGTAATCGAATATTGGAGCTCAGCATGTCACAGGTAGTACCTTTAAGTTAATCCATGCATACGGCAACCCAGTGGGCGTGTTAAATGCAGGTAGGAAGCGTTTCCCTAAGTCCTCAGCCAAAGTAAGCAGCTGATTCTTGTAAACTCCTTGACCCAGCCTGTTTGAAGAATCACTTGCAAGTAAATGAGCAGAAACAAGTCCTCCAAGCACTCTTATGTTGCACTACAAAATAGCAATCAAGTGGAAAAGAGAACTAATTAAATACATAAAGAACAAAACTAGACAACAATATATATTGCTCTTGAATAACATTTAAAATAATATCTACATCCAGAAACTGCATCCCATTTTGAACAATCTAAAAGGTACGAGAATAATAAAGTTCTAGAATCAGCATAACTCAACTAAATTAAGCTTTTTTTCCACAAGCTATTGAATATATACCTCAAAGAGATTTACCCTCGCATCAACCTCAAACTTCAAATTGTCAGAAAGCCAAATAATTGCGCTTTCAAATTCAGTGTTGTTACCCATAATGACAAGGCTGCGAGAAAATTTTACATCAGAATGATGTGACGACAAAATTATACGAATCATAATGAAGAAGTACCAGTGTTCAGCATAATATTGCTATAACTGAAGGCATATAAATTCAGATTATAGAAGAGTATCTATGACATAATCGGTTCATGTCAAACCTGGACAATGATTCTATAAGACTCAGAGCCGATCCACTGTAGCCTTGTGGTAGGTGTTCAAGCTGAAATAGGGAAAGAAAGCACTTCAATTTACTTTTGAAAATTGCAACTAATCATAATTCATTTTATCTAAAGATATAAAGTTACCTTCAGATTTCCAAGTTCACTAAGAGAGTCGGTGAAACTTTTACTCAGTGGCTTTAGCTCATCATGCTGCAAAGAATGCAGTTTTAATATCATACGTACGTAGGTGAAAAACCTAGAAGAAATAATGAACAAAAAACTTACCGGAAATGCATGGATCATGTAGTTGTCGTATGCATGATAAAACCTGAAAGGAGGGAAACAACTTTACTGTAAGAACCCTTCAAGTACTTCCACAAATAAACATAGACGTTGTACTAAAGAGATCCTCATACAGTTATCTACTCTTTTCTTATACAATTTGTTTAGTTCCTTCACACGTAGGCAAATTCTCCCAAAGACCAGAGTATATTTTACAGGGGTTTCCGGATGGCCAGTGCAAAACAAATCCGCAAGTCATAAAATGTGATTTCTTTACTTCAAAAAGTGCAAAAGAAATGCGAAAGTCATACCAATTAATAGTCTTAGGGTTGTTCTGTTTCATTTTCTTAAGAAAATTGCCTTTAGCCCATATCGTCGAAACCGTAACAACCGGAAATGTCTAGTTCCCCAAAGCCCCATACTTCAAGATCTCAAATTTACATTTCCATCAGTATTTGATTTACCAATTCCATCCAAGCATGCTATTCCACTTTGACAAATATCCATATTTTTTTCAAAATTAATACAAAAACAAACTCTTTCTACAATCTAATCACTTAAAACCAAAACTCCTACATTTTTTTCGAACTAAAACACAAAATTTACCAACAGAATCAACCAAAACAAACCCAAATCAGCAAAACCACAAAGTTCAGCTAAAAACCCCTGATTGGGGAGCAAAATTACGGATACCCATTAAGCTAAATTTACAAATATTGAAGAAAAATGGAAACTTCAGCTGAGAAACCGAGCGGGTGGAGGTGAAATTCGAGTTTACTTACATCTTACGGACTTTATCTCTGAGGCGTCGCTTCTTAGCTGCCCAACGGGGATCGGACGGCGATGCGGAGGTCAATAAGTTTATGAGGGTGGGAGAGATCAGAAAGAAGAGAAGAACCCATGTCGCGCATTTGCGCGGCAACATGGCTATTGGGCCAATTGGATTGGGATTCGTATCAGAGATGGAGAGCGAAGAATCAGAGGACTGAGGAAGGCGGGTTATTCTGCGATTTGCTAATTAGCTTGTCTGGTTGGTACTGCAGGCGCCAGGTAATTGTAAGAAAAATAAAATTAAAAGAGCATGTTATAATTTAAATTAAATATATTAGAAGGAATTAGATGATTGGTGGATGTTGATGTACGTGTGTAAATGGGATTAGATGATTGGTCAACACAGTGTCATCCTTGTATTTTCTACGATTTGAGTTTTGATGATATTGATACGGATGCACTATAAAATAGTAAAATGCGAATGTGATCAAGATTGAGTTTGGACTCTATTTGGACCCAATATGGCTGATTGGACCACGTTGACAAGGCTCAACAGATAGTTATTGCGCTAGTTATGTTAATTCTAAATTAAGTAGCGTTATCCATACATTTATTTTATTTTCTTACAATTTTTTTAATTTGGGAGTGTTAAATTGAATGAATTGAAGAAAATTAATGGACAAAAATTAACAAGAGTATATAAAAGGTAAAAAAATGTGTGTGAATAACTTACACTTCTGAGTCTAAGTCCAAAATTAATAACTATTATTAACTAGTTATTAGTTTAGTTATACTTTTTTCTCAATATATGAAAAAGAGTCCACCACTAAAAACTATATATTGTCGATAAATAGAAGTACGTCTTGTTCATTAACATCTCGGAAATATTCCGCCATAGTTAGGGCGGTTAAACCTACTCTCATACGAGCTCCTGGCGGTTCATTCATCTGACCGTAGACTAGAGCTACTTTTGATTCTGCAATATTTTGTTCATTAATTACTCCAGATTCTTTCATTTCCATGTAAAGATCATTTCCTTCACGAGTACGTTCACCTACTCCGCCAAATACGGATACACCCCCATGAGCTTTGGCAATGTTGTTGATCAATTCCATAATGAGTACTGTTTTACCCACTCCAGCTCCTCCGAATAGTCCTATTTTTCCTCCACGACGATAAGGGGCTAAAAGGTCTACTACTTTAATTCCTGTTTCAAAATAGATTTCTTTTGTTAACCCTATGTCCAAAACTAATGGGACAAGGTTGCCTCCATATATTCACTATTGTGGTTTGGCTCAATCAAAAGATGGGACATCTTTTTTGTTTATAGAAGTCCAAGAAAAATTAAATAACAGTGCATAAACAATAAAACACGTGTTCCTTCTTTCATGATTTAAAAAGAAATTCAACCATCAATTATCATATCATATCATCTACAAATTATAATTAAAGTAGAGAGCTTTTATAATATTGTTCATTAATTAAACTGTAGGGCAGTTGGAAGTTGAATTTCGATTTCGGTTATACCGATACAATCTTGACAAGAATCAATTGGAAGCTGCATGCATGACTCTACGATCAATTGCATGGCTGTTCTCTCTGGTCCAACGCACTCCTCGCTCACACAAAGACACCAAAACTATATGCAATGCAAAAATAGCAGACCAAAAACCACAAATGTATACTTAAATCCACGAAAATACAACACATCAAATCCCCTGAAACTCCTCCCATCCATATATCAAACACTCACTCCACCTTCTTCCCCTGTCCTCCGTTTTTCTCAAACCTATTACTTAATTTGCCTTCTCTTTCCAACTTCCATTGAGGAAAGATCTCAGGGGAAGAAGCAGGTCTCACTCTAAACCCTGATCTTCCTCTAGTTACCATCATCATCATCATCATCATCATCATCATTATCTGTCTCTCTTTCCAATAACATGGCTATTGCTATACTTCTTCTTCTCTTCTTCTCCATTCCCTTCTCCGAATCGAAGCTCACCAAAGATTACTACAAGCAAACTTGTCCAGACTTTCAGAAGATTGTCAGAGACACCGCGTCCCAAAAGCAAGCCGCCCAACCCACCACCGCCGCAGGCACTCTCCGCCTCTTCGTCCACGACTGCTTAGTTGAGGGTTGTGACGGCTCCGTCCTCATTGCCTCCAACCATCTCAACAAAGCTGAGCGCGATGCTGAGATCAACGAATCCCTAGCAGGTGATGGTTTTGAGGTGGTAGTCCGTGCCAAGACCGCCCTGGAGCTCACCTGCCCAGGGATTGTCTCGTGCGCAGACATTCTCGCGGAGGCCACACGTGACCTTGTCACGATGGTTGGTGGACCCTTCTACTCCGTCAGGTTGGGACGAAAAGATGGACAGGTTTCCCTTGCGTCCAAGGTTGAGGGAAACTTGCCAAGAGCAAACCAAACCGTGGATGAGCTCATCAAATTCTTCGCCGCTAGGGGTTTCACAATTGAAGAAATGGTTGCCTTAACTGGTGGACACACAATTGGGTTCTCTCATTGCAAGGAGTTCACTGACAGGCTTTTCCATTACAGCAAAACTACTCCAACAGACCCAGAAATCAACCCTAAATACGCCGAAGGCTTGAAGATGACATGCGGTAACTACACAACTAACCCCGCCATGGCTGCCTTCAACGACGTGTTAACACCTGGAAAATTTGATAACATGTACTATCAGAATCTAAAGAGGGGCTTGGGGCTGCTGGCATCAGACCATGCACTTACTAAGGACCCGAGGACGAAGCCTTTTGTGGAGTTGTACTCTACTGACCAGGCGGAGTTTTTCAAGGCTTTTTCTCATGCAATGGAGAAACTTGGACATCATGAGATTAAGACCGGGCATCAGGGAGAGGTGAGGCGCAGGTGCGACGCGTTTAACTCGCTTCAGGCTTAGATTATAATGAAGGATGAGAGATGAAGAAGAAGAAGATGATGATGATGATGATGAAATGATAATTAAGAGATGATTGTTATTATTGGTTTTCATTTGGCCATGGATTAATTCATCACTAGGGAATAAAGAGAGAGAGAGAGAGTTTTTACAAATCTCTCTGTTTTTATTTTATTTTTCTTTCTTTTCTTATTTGGTTCGATATGTGACATGATGATGATGGTGGTGATGATGATGGTACATAAGTTCATGATTATATGATATTTGAGTATTTATACATTACAGTGTGATTTTTGTGATAGCTTTCGAGCTGTGATGATTTTTTATTTTATTTTTAAAGACGATAGTATTTACATTAAAATGGTAAGGAAGTGGGTTAAGCCTTACATTGAGTTTGTCATAATAAGAGGTCTTTAATTTTAAGGGAATGGATCCCCATTTTTAAATGGTGCTTAGTTGTGGAGATCACACCACATCCAACCTTAATGATCCAAACAGTCTATTTTTAAATTGCACATAGATCATTTTTACAAAATATTAGGCAAATCAAAAATATTTGAGGCATCTAATTGAGTTCAAAGAAATTGCCGAACACTTTGTTCTAAGAAAACATTTAATTTCATCATGATAATTAAATAGATAAATGGTTTCGAATTGAATTGACTTTTTGTAAGAGTGATCTATGAATTGAGACTTAAAAAATAAATGTGCGGATCATTAAAGTTCAATGTGAAGTGAGGCCCAAAATTAATCCCCATATTTTAACAAAATGGGGACCCCTTCAATTAAAGGTAGTGTAGTACTAGAATCTAGATCTCTCATATTAATCGCACTGATCTAAAAATCCCTGCCTAGCGCCGCGTAGGCGCTAGTCAGTTGGCCACCACCCTGATTAATGCCTAGGCGTTTGAAAATTAAGAAATGACGCTTAAACCTGCTGAGGCACCCGCTTAGACCGCCTAGCCCGCCAATACCCACCTAGATTGCGACTCACTTAGACAGAAAATAGATAACTTTCATTTTACATTTTATTTTTTTTTCAAAAAATTGTAATAGACTTGTTGAATGCTTAAACAAACAGACATTATATGCTTGTTCCTCATGTTTTCATTATGTTCAAATACTTCATAATATATATATATCTCATTCTATTTTGTAGTCTATGATGCAATTATAGATATTTTAAGCATAAAGAGACACTTATTTACACGAAATATAATATATTTACTTAAATCCGTCTAGCCGCCTAGGCGTTAGGCCCCAACCCACCGCCCGACTAGCGCCTAGTGTCTTTTAGAACCTTGATTAATCCACAGTAACGTCACCTCAAACGTTAATTAATTGTTCGTTAGGGTCAAATAATTATCAGGAAAACGCCTTTGAGATCAAATACAGAGAGGCATGCAGGGAAACATCAAAAGTTTTTTCAGATTAAATACCAAATAATGAATTGCAACCTCAAACACCTGCATATTAAAGATTTGAGCTTCAAAAGAATCGCATCTATTTATGCATGGTGATATGCACAGTGGTGTCCGGCGCCGGAAAGTCATCTTGCTGAAGTCGGAACATCAAAACACAAGACACATAGCTGGCTAGCTATCACCCATTTCACAAGTCATGCTTGCCATTGCTATGTGTGAGCTTTTGATTTCCAAGGGGAAATGGAAACTTTAGGGAACAAAAGTTGGATGGGATTGCAGGAAGCATTTTAGGTTTTGAATAAAACTGAATCTAATTGATTGTAAGGCTATAAAAGGCTAGCTATTGTCAACTAAACCGAGTAGTCGTTCTAACTGATAAGTTGCTTAATTTTCAGCAATCGATACTTCTATTCGGTTAAGAACTGTCGAACTCAAAGTTGTTACTTGTTAGTCAGTTTTACACAGCTCATAGAACTGTTCTACTATTACGTATAAATTTCCAGCCTTATTTGTAGTTCTCCATTCATTCACCAAAACAAACAAGTTTCTATCGAAGTTCTTCAAAATTGTTTTACTTTTCTCCTAGCCATTTTTGATTTTCTATAACATTATTAACAACACACCAAATCATTTTTCTCTCTCTAGCTACCTATGTCTCAATCCAAGGCTTTTCCAATCCTTTTCCTTCTCTTCCTCGCCATTCCATTCACCGAATCTAAGCTCTCCATCGACTACTACAAAAAAACATGCCCTGACTTCGAAAGCATTGTCCGTGACACTGTGACTTCAAAACAAATCGCCAGTCCCACCACTGCGGCGGGCACTCTCCGTCTCTTCTTCCACGACTGCATGGTCGAAGGCTGCGACGCTTCCATCCTCATCTCCTCCAACTACGTTAACACCGCAGAGCGTGATGCCGACATCAACCAATCCCTCGCGGCAGATGCCTTTGACCTCGTGGCAAGAGCCAAGACCGCCATCGAGCTCTCCTGCCCAGGCATTGTTTCTTGCTCCGACATCCTCACCTTAGCCACACGCAACCTGGTCACGATGGTCGGCGGTCCGTTCTACAAAGTCCGATTGGGACGGAAAGACGGACAGGTTTCCAAAGCTTCACTGGTGGAAGGAAATCTCCCAAGAAGCAACCAAACCCTAGATGACATGATCAAATTCTTCGCTACAAAAGGCTTCACACTCCAAGAAATGGTGGCTTTATCCGGTGCGCACACAATTGGATTCGCTCATTGCAAAGAATTTGTCGACCGGATTTTCAATTACAACAAAACTACACCAACAGATCCTGACATGTACCCAAACTATGTTCAAGGGCTGAAGAAAATTTGTGCAGACTACAAAACGAACATCGCCATGTCTGCCTTCAACGACGTGATCACGCCCAGCAAGTTCGATAACATATATTATCAGAATCTGAAGAGGGGTTTGGGGTTGTTGGCATCGGACCATGCACTTGTTAAGGACCCGAGGACGAGGCCTTTTGTGGAGTTGTACTCGACGGACCAGGCTGCTTTTTTCAAGGCTTTTGCTCATGCTATGGAGAAGCTTAGCCATCATGGAGTTAAGACTGGACGTAAAGGAGAGGTCAGGCGCAGGTGTGATGCTTTTAACTCCATTAAAGCTTAATTAATTAGATGATGTTGAAGAAGAAGATTATCGTCAAGGGTTGTCATTGGCCATGGATTGAATTCGCCAGAGAATTAAAGAGACGGATTTTCTTGTGATTCAATTGTCATATTATATAAATTTTTATGTATGATGGTGATGATAGCAAAATTACGAATCATTTGCGTAATGAAATGTAACCACAGCAACTGAATCTCTCGTTAATATTGAATATTGATATGATGCCTTACAAGATCCCCAGAAACAGAACATGAAGATGAACGTGATCCGCAGATTTGCAGACCGGCAGATACATGAACCCCAACCCTCGTTACAGTTACATATATTCACTATTACAATTCAACAGTTACGGTCTGCGTGATCACCAGAACCTTACGATCCAGGAGATCACCAGAACCAGGAAATCGACAATTGTCTTCAGTAGAACAAGTTTCGGAAGAAAGAGTGCTTGGAGCGGTATAGCATTCAGGGAGTCGAGAACAGAAAGTACCCCGCCCAACACTCGTGAAATTTTCCCCATTAATTACAAACCTTGGTCAATATTTGTACCCGACCTGGGCGCTTCTAATAAAACCCCTTGTTCTAACCTTGCACCTGTATGCTAGTATTTCTCTTGTATTACTTCAACAACATCTTTTACAAATCATACCCTGCATTTGCACAAGTGTTCAGTATTTATACCGAACTGCAAGCTAAGGCAGTTACAAGATATTTCCCAAATCTTATCTCTAACCACCCAATTATTATTGACATTAACAATCAACAATTACTAACAGATAGGATACTTAGTACTAACATCCAACAATACTAACAGCATAACAGCATCATAACAGCATCCTATCATTACCCCACCCTAAAAATGAACCTTGTCCTCAAGGTTGGAATGCAGGAAACCTGTTTACAAATTCTGCATAGTTTTCCCATGTCGCCTCCTCCTTAGGACGATGCTTCCAGTGCACCAAAACCTCTGTCGTGGATGAACTGCCATGACCTGTTAACCTCCTCCGTAATATTGCCAATGGATAATCCTCCAAGAGTCCGTCCTCTGTAGCTACAGGTAATGGGACTGCAGGAATGATAGCAGAACCCAATTGTTTCTTCAAGCAAGAAACATGGAAAACTGGGTGAAGTTTTGATGTGGCAGGTAAGTCAATTTTATAAGCCACTTGACCAATCTTCTGCAGCACCTTAAAGGGACCATAAAACCGTGGCTGGAGCTTATGAAAGGGATGTTTAGCGAGAGATTGGTGTTGATATGGTACCAATCGTAGAAAAACCATATCGCCAACCTCGAAAGATCGTTCACTGCGATGTTTATCAGCATGCTGTTTCATACGTACCTGAGCCGAGACAAGATTAGTCTTGAGCTGAGACAAAATTCGTCCCCGTTCTTGCAAGCTTCTGTCAACCAAATCAACTTTAGTTGTTCTCGATTCGTAAGTAGGCACAGCAGGAGGTGGTTGACCATATACAACCTCATAAGGTGTCAGCTTTGATGAAGTATGAAAAGAAGTATTGTAGTGCCATTCTGCCCAAGGAAGCCACTGAAGCCACTTTTTTGGTTGATGACTGCAAAAACATCTCAAGTATGTTTCCAAACCCCGATTGGTAACCTCTGTTTGACCGTCGGTTTGGGGATGGTAACCAGAACTGAGACACAATTTGGAACCTTGCAGTGCAAAAAATTCCTTCCAAAAAGAGCTCAAGAAAACAGGGTCTCGGTCACTTACTATTGTGGACGGCATACCATGAAGTTTGAAGATATTATCAACAAACATCTGTGCAACTGAATGTGCAGTATATGGATGAGACAACGGCAGGAAATGAGCATATTTAGAAAGGCGATCGACGACCACAAAAATAATGGTTTTTCCCTTGCAAGGGGGAAGACCCACGATGAAGTCCATTGCTATATCCGTCCACACAGTAGAGGGAATGGGAAGTGGATTAAGTAAGCCAGGGGAAGCAAGAGTCTCAGTCTTGTTTTGCTGACAGACCTGACAAGCTGCCACCCACTGCATCACATCCAATTTCATACCTTGCCAATAGAAGGACCTGGAGATCCGCTTATAAG